TCTTGGTGTGCAAAGAGGTCTTAGGCTGGACCAAATTCACGTGTTATACAAAATAAGAATATATATATATATATATATACATATATAGTTTATATAAACATACCAGTTATGTTGATATAAACTCTGAAGAAAATAACTTTCAATACATTAGCGTATCTTCACCTTCGATAGTGATCTAAACAGAGAACTAGGTCAAAAATTTAAAACAAAGCATCACACATAAAGGGCAAAGAAAGGTAAAATATTCCCTAGGAAGAGAAGTATTTAGGACGTAGGACCCACACATCTATTGAAATTATGTTTCTTTGTTTTTTAGCAAAGAGCTACAGAATGGGTTAAATTCGTTTTATCTACTGTGTAGAATCGAATCTCTGATTTTAGCGTTGTAAACTTATCGTTGACTTACCGAGGAGACTGAAGGTATGTTGTCGAATAGATTTAACTTGTATTCGCAACATCATTTGTGAACATAACTTACTCATAGTAAATAAGTAAAAAGAAGGATAAATATTCACGCCGACAGCTTCCCATATTTCGTTCAGTATAAAACAAAACAGCGTGTTTAATGTCTGTGTAATATCTGATAACTGTTTGAAGTTAAGCACAAAGCTACACAATGGGCTATCTGTGATCTGCCCACCACGGGTATCGAAACCCGGTTTCTAGCGTTGTAAGTCCGCAGACATACCGCTGTGCCACTGGGGAGCCTGTAATATCTACTCTATGAGTCGTGAAAAAAATTAACATCTCACATTGTTCATTATAACTGCGGCCTTTTGTAGGAAGCTATTTAGTTCTGGTTAAACAGAAATGCAAGAAAAACAAGTGAGCATATAAAATAAAATAGATTACCAAATAATTTTCTTCAAAAAATAATGCGTCCTTATATTTATATACAGGTTTGTTTTGTTTTTGAATTTCGCGCAAAGCTACACGAGGGCTATCTGCGCTAGCCGTCCCTAATTTAGCAGTGTAAGACTAGAGGGAAGGCAGCTAGTCATAACCCCCACCGCCAACTCTTGGGCTACTCTTTTACCAACGAATAGTTGGATTGACCGTCACATTATAACGCCCCCATGGCTGAAAGGGCGAGCTTGTTTGGTGTAACGGGGATTCGAATCCGCGACCCGCAGACTGCGAGTCGAGCGCCCTAACCACCTGGTCATGCCGGGCCTATATACAGGATTATTAAAAATTGTTAATTTAAAAATGGGGATTAGGAACCATCAAAAAAATTACAGAAACAAGATAGGTAGCTTAAAGTGAAAACACAATCGCAAAAAGTGAACAAACAAGCTTAAAGTTTGAAATATGGTGTTGATATTATTTCCTCAAGCTACAAATCCCAATTTTGACTCTCCTAAATATTACAACTTTTAGAAATGGAGTCAAAATAGGGATTTGTAGCTTGAGGAAATAATGTCAACACTATATTTCAAACCTTAAGCTTGTTTGTTTACTTTGTTTTTGTAATTGCATTTTCACATTAACCTACCTATCTTGTTTCTGTAACTTTTTGAAGATCCTTATTCCCCATTTTTAAATTAACAATTTTTAATAATTTTGTTTATTTATTTCTTTATGTCGATCACGGACATAAATCTGTATAATAGCAATACTGTCCTATTTGAAACAGTTTAGTATAAATTAATGAAATACGTAGTTGGTGTATGATGACCACCTTTGGATTGGCTTCATGCATATTGGATGACTATAGCTCCTGATATTATTACCACAATGTTATATTTAATAGTGGAGCTGTATATATGGTCGCTATGATGTATGGTGATCAACATACCACTTGTTATGTATATGCTTGTAAAATATCTATATGTAGCTACTATATTTATACCCTGTAGCTGTATGGGGAGTCTATAAACACTGAATTTGAAGGACTACTGAACTATATTGGAATGGTGAATGGCCAGGATTTTGTAACTGCACGGGTTTTATACATGCATACAAATGCAATGAATGTCGGCTAGTATTTATAAAACTATATATGCACACATGCAGGCTTTATAGTTCTTTAAAGTTGTAAAGTCGTATATATAAAAACCATATGAATTTTTCAATTTGTATAGACGCATGCATACATATTCAATACAAATACAATAAGATATGCATACAAATAAGCATTTGTAAAATTTCTTATAGTTATTATACACTATCCTCCTAAAAGTCATGGGAAACATGAATAAAACATGTCTTTATTCCAAGAAATTAATAGCGCGTTGGCCCGCCTTTGACCTTAATGACTGCTTAAATGCGTCGTGGAAGACTGTCTACTAATTGCTAGTAGAAAGCTGGTGGTATTGTGCTCCACTCCTTAAAGCATTAGTAAGCTCCAATACTGAAGAGGGCCGCCTTGGCCTTGCCCTAATTCTGCGTTCCAGTTCATTCCAAAGATGTTCTATCGAGTTGAGGTTGGAGCTCTGTGTTGACCACTGCAATGTTCCGATGTTATTCTCTTCAAACCACGCGTTCACACTCCTTGCTTTATGACACAGAGGGAGCTTTATCATTTTGAAAGTTGTAAGTACTGGTACCATAAAATTGCCACAATACAGGACACACAGAATTGTTCAGAACATCAATGTAGAACTCAGCATTCATGGACCCATGCAATGAGACCAGTGGACCTAGTCCATACCACGAGAAGCACCCATAGACCATGATACCGCCACCTCCAAAACTTCACTGTTGGGACAACGCACTCAGGTAATAAGCATTCTCCAGGTCTTCTCCATACCCAAACATGTCCATCAGACTGGGAGAGCGTGTTGTGTGACTCGTCGCTCCACAGGACCAATTTCCATTGATCCACGGTCCAGGTTCGGTGTGCCTTATCCCATGCCAATCAACAGTGTGCATTTGTTTTTCTTATCAGTGGCTTGTGGGCTGCAGCTCTTCCTTGAAAATTCATGGCATGCAGCTCTCGACGTGTCGTGGAAACACTTATAGGATTGTCTGTGGCTGTTCCCATCTCCAAACACAGATTCTCTCGGGACTGATGGCGAGATGAGGTAACCAGCCTTCTCAAGGTGTGTCGGCTCCTGTCAATCAGTATTTTATGCATACTTGTTTGTTTCTTGGGCTCATTATCACCTGTGGACTTCCATTTATTCAGCACATTGCCAACTGTCGACCAGGTAATATTTAATTGTTGCGCAATAGCACGTACAGACATTTTCCCAAATGACATCTGACTAACCTTCCCTCTGAAACTCTGTTAACTATTTTCATGTACAAGTTTGAAATGCCTTCCGAGCGAACCACTGATCCACTTTATTGGCCAAATCACTTGCATATTTCGTCGTCACACTCATTTTCCTGCAATCAGAGGTGTGTCCATGACTTTTGGTAGGATAGTGTATTTTCCCCTTCCTCTTCCTCCTGCTCCTCTCCGCTGGACATAATAGGGCCAGTCACAGTTTTTATTCAGCTGGCCAGATTTCCATTTAGAGTGACATTCTGCACATTCTACAAGGTCGAAAATGTGTTAATTAACATTTATGAATTGATTATATCGGGTTGTAACACTTCTACGATCCTCTATCACTGTGACGACTCTAAACTCTGATGGGTCGTCGCTGCTGCATACTTTATCTGCAACTAAATATTTTCTAAATAAAATATATAGCTACAAAATTTCTGCCTCACTTTCGCTAGAATCGCTATCTCCTGCTTGACGATTCTTCACACTCCTTATAGACAGTTTCAAGAATGGCTACTCTAGCTGCAGTATCTATAACATTCACAATCGTGCAGTGTTAGCTGTAATTCTACAATTACCATCAGTGATTGCCGATCCGATGCTCGAAATACAGCTTGGTGCTATCTTTTAAACTAGGGCTAAAAGGGTTCTGTTGTGGGAGACAGGCTAGATGTTTGTATAATGTTTTAGACGTTTATGTAACGTTTTAGACTTTGTGTTACATGGCCGAAATCAGTCATGCACTGGTCAAAAAGCTGTGATCCTGTCTGCAGCATCGTGTCCTAAACGGCAGGAAATCTATATAAACAAATGATACTCGTCATCAATACAGTTGCAACAATAAGATAATAATTGCCATGGTACATGTGTCATGCACGCCATATAAACATTAAATTACATCCACAGTCTGCACTCAGCTGTATACATATGCATGTAATATATTATAAGGCTCCATATAAACCACAGACTACATTAAAACGCTTGGGTGTCAATGGTTACACTTATGCGACTGTTGTTATTTGCTATGTAGTTTTTTGTTTGTAGTTAAGCACAAAGCTGCACAATGGGTTATCTGTGCTCTGCCCGCCACGGGTATCGAAACCCGGATTCTAGCGTTGTAAGTCCGCAGACATACTGCTGTGCCACTGGGGGGCTTGCTAGGTAGTCAAACAAACTTAAAACTACCTTACACAATACGCAATGATGCGTTTAGTAATATGCCCAGGTTTTATTACAATACTCACAGCCAATTTTGCTCTAGGCTGGGGGAACAATATTAAATAATAATAAAGAACAAAATGGGCGATCTCTATTATGAACCACTGCTGTGGTTCGTGATAAACAAACAGAAATTTCTTTATTTTTCATGGTAGTTGTTTTTATGCACACAAGCAAACAACTTTATTTGTTTAGCATTTTCAAGCAAAGCTACACAAGGGTGCAGCCGATCCTACATTTAAAATGATGGACTATAAGGAAGACAGGTAGCTAAAACACCCATCACTAAGTTTTGGGGTACTCTTGTCTGCCAAAAAGAGGAACTTACCATTACACTTATAACTCACACAGGCTCAAAGTATGGAGCGCATTTAAAAAGTAGCTGGCCAACCAGACCCTTGCATTTCACAGCCCTAGACGATGCCTTACCCACATAAAAATATATGTAATAAAATATATAGTCGTACATGTTTTACTGATAGATAAAAATAGATGTCAGAATATTTGTGGTCAGGTGCGAAGCCATATGGTGTCCGTACTTGCAAGTTTAGATACGTAGACACGTCACGCGCTTTTCCGTCTTGACCTTGCACTCTGAACAACTTGAATGAACTGAATAAATAACGTAAAACTGTGTAGTAACGTAGTTCGGTAGAAGTAACTAGCAGTAGAAGGAAAATCATTTGATATTTCCTCCATTTTACTCTCTTTGTATTGTTTGTATTAAAATAAGTGTACTTTTCACATTAATTGCAATTGCTTATCTGCAACTTATTATTAAATTTCAGGCTTCACTTCAGAGAAATGGATCATAAATCGGAGAACAAAAGAGACAAAGCTGCAGAGCAGCTCAGTGATTTTAAGAATGCTCAACAAGGGGTGAGTATTAAAAAAGTGTGTGTGGAAAAATGCAAGGAACACTATGTTAGTATATAAGTAAATGTATTGGTTGTAACAAATTTCGAAATTTGCGTGATAGTATGTAGTTGCTGAATAACCATACAAGTAGCGCCCAATGTAGGTCTCCACAATACAAGTTACAACGTACAAGTACTTGAAACTTAAACTAAAGTTCTACTATTGTAGGGTTATTTTCAAAATTTCCACAAACGTAATGTACAGAATAAAATCTAGTAAAAATTGAAAGTTAAAATTCAACTTCCTGTTAATGCTTTCGGTTTCACTGATTTTCAGTGCTTAATTAAAAAGAAAAAGCTGTTGTGATGGTGACCTACACTTGTAATTTGTATGTAGTGTGCAGCCTATAGTATAGGTTAATTTAGGAATGGGATTATGCATTCCTGTTGATATCTGAATATGTTTACCATACCTATAAAGTATAATCATATAATTTACATAACTACACTTTGTTAACTTTTAGTAAGCACTTTACTGTGCATATACAGTATATATATATATATATATATATATATATATACACATCTCTGCAGTTTCATATCCCTTTACAATGTCTGTACATACATATTGTTAGTCTATTAGTTTAAAAGTTTTTCACCATTACAAGTGGCGGACTATACTATTATGTGTGTTTATCATTGGGTTTTACTTCTTGCTTGAATTTGTTACTGTTTTAATATTTCTGCTCAAAATGTAGAAAGATATATAAAGCTATCCATAATCATATCAAAGTACAAGTTTTTATACTGCTCCTGTAATACAAATATAACTTGAGATGTAATTATACATTAAATTTTAATCATGTTAAAAAATGCACACAAAATTTTTGGAAAAAAATAATTTGCTGACATTCAGTTTTTTCTTATTAAGCCTTTTTCAAAAACTGTATTGTTCAGACATTGTTATGCAATTGGAATACAGTAAATACTTACCATGATTGAGGCATTTTGTGTTTCGTTGTTGTTGGAAACCAGAAATATGTAAACATTGTTACTCTGTTCATCAGCAGTCAAATTTGATGACAACTGCTACAGGATGTCCGATAGGAGATAAATTGAATGCCCAAACAGTGGGTCCTCGTGGACCCATGCTGCTACAGGATGTTGTCTATCTGGAAGAAATGGCTCATTTTGACAGGTCAGTGAGCCTGGCAGCACTTGGCTGTTGATTGGTTTTATAGCAAATTATTGAGTATACTAGAAGAAGTACAAACTTTTAACTTGGCTTTATATGTAGTAACAAAACTTGCTTGTAGATTGGTCAGAGTATCTATAAGTGTGCATGAGTTTAGTAGAAAACATTTATCAGGTTAATGAATATGTCAATAGTTGTATATTGTTATTTAGTAAGTTGCTTGTCTAAAACGTTTTCTATATGTAGCTGAACAAATTTTTTCTAGAATAAATTTAAATTTCAACTTGTAAACACACAGGGCTGTAATAATTTTTTCTATTTGGTTTAGACTGCTTATTTTGCATAAATATATATAATTCTGGGTTTGATGTAACTTAGTAAAGTGCAAAGATTTTATGAATGTTTGTTTAAAGATGATCATTACAATGTCATTGCCTCTTTTTTTTTTTATCATACAAAAAGGGAGAGAATACCAGAACGTGTTGTACATGCCAAAGGAACTGGGGCTTTTGGGTATTTTGAAGTTACCCATGATATCAGAAAATACTGCAAAGCTAAGTTGTTCAACCAGATTGGAAAACGAACCCCAATAGCTGTCCGTTTCTCTACTGTTGGTAAGTTAAAAAATATTACCAAATACATTTATATATTGAAAAGATATATGAAATTAACTAGTACATGTACCTGCACTATCTACAAAAAAATAAAAAAAACTATCATATAGACTCTACTTGTGTAAACATAGTTAGGTGCAGTTTTCTATTATCTTAGTTTACTATGTCTCATTGTCAGATTAAGTTTCATTGATCGTAATAAAAGTGAAAATACTGCATAACTGTTTTGTGAAGAAATATATGAAAATGGTTTTGGTACCTCTTATAGAGCATGTGCATTTTACTGATGTCATCCACTGATTTCATCTGTACATAACCCACAGGTCTTCTGGCTACTTTGGCAAACAAAATATTTAACGTGCCTACTCTTATTTTTGATTAAATTTCATGTTTATTATTTTATCATGATTCTTCTTCATTATGAGCTTAGTATATGGATTTAGGATAATTAAGTTAACCTAAGTCCCATGGGCTGACCAAAGTTGAGCTTCCAAAAGCTTCATGTGGATTTTTTTAGGTCTCTCTTCTTAAAGATGTCTCTGAGCCTGTTTTTGGATATGCTTAGTTCTGTTTAACTTTTGTCTGAAATGCACTTACAGTAAGATTGTAGTAATTGTATATCAATTGTTTTGATGTTTAGCAGCCTATACAATCATCTAAGTCTAAATATTAATTAGTTACTACTTTATTATTAGCATTATTGTGTATGAATTACTAATTAGTTTGTATCCTACATAGCACAGAAGTGAGAAAAACTTATACTCCAGTTGCAATCATTCAAATAGTTGATTCTAGTCTTATAGGCAAGTGGCAATCTGACCAGATTTGGTTGAATTAATCCCCCTTCCTCCCTCCAGAGAAATACTGTGGTGTGTTTTCTTAATGCTTGTGACTTTAATGGGCAATGATCTTGGCAAAGTTAATGGTTATAGAGGTGATTTCTGTAGTAACCATGACATATTTCAGGTATTTATAAGAAATCGATAATTTCTTGATACCTCAACAACTATTTGTGCAAGTAAGCTTGTGAAACACTTTAAGTGCACTTATTTACTTTTTCAAATGAAATAAGTTGTATAATATATTGAAACTTGAGCAATATTTCATGTAACCTGTTATACTTGCAATGAAAAATGTCCATATAAATGAATTTTGAATTATTTTTGGGTGAGGAATATATAAAAGGTGAGCATAAATAATCCTTCAACACCACCCTAGCTACTTCAGCAACCCTATCTACTTCAGTAGGTATGACTGGATATTGTCTTTAGTGTAGGTGGTCATATTAAGAATATATCATCAACACATCTGAGCCAAATTTTGAGCCTTTGAGTAGCTGTTTTGAGGACATTATCTTCAAAATATTTCATGTATGGGTTCATTAGTACTACTGAGAGGGGAGATGCTATGCTTTTTTATGGTTGCAAATGTTAACATCCATGTTAAAAGTAAGCTGTGTCAATACAGAAACTTATGATTTCTGTTATTGTGGAATTTGTCAATTTGGTGCATTCCTTGAAAGTTTTGTCATTTTCAATTTGTCATTGGAGTATCTGTAGTGTTTCAAGATTTGGCATATTAGTGTATAGATTGAATACAATGAAGATGATCTTTGTGTCTTTGGAGGTTATCATGGTTAATTTAATAATTTCTACAAAGTGAACTGAGTCACAGTCTTGTCAGAGGAGAAAAACCATACAGTAGAATGGGAAAAAAATACTCAAAAAATGAGAAGTGAACTATATATAAAAAGGTAAAAGAAGCTTTTTACATTACCTGACTGATAACACAGTCTTCTTGGCATAGAAGTCTACAAGACATGAATCTTCTCTGGAAACCTTTTGAATAGTCTATTCAAGAACAGAAGATTAGAATAATACAAAGTGATTATAATCTAGAAAAAACAAATTAGTATCTAATTAGTAATTAGGTTTAACTGATTGTATAGGCTACTATCTCTGGATCCTACATAGCTTGTACTTTTAAATTTCCATTTTAGAGTTTTGTATTTTTATAAATTATATCTTAGAAATGTTTCTAATATAATTTAAAAAATTGTTTTATTTTAAAGAATATTAATTATTCTATCACTGTTGAAATCAGTAATGAGATTTAATTATAGACATATTAATTCAACTGAATACTCAATTACTAACAATCATTTACCTTTAAAATATATTTTAAAGATTTAAAAATAATTAGCATAAAATATCCATTCTCAACTCTATTGTTCAAATGTCACTCCTAATTCACAGAGGCTCCTGTGTACTAATGAAGCTCTGCCCTTATCCCCTATTACTTCTATAGTTACCCCAATGGAGTTCATCCCAGAAAACAAATCCTGTTAAGTCATCCAACCGTGTTAGATGAGCCCATGTGCCACATTTGGTCATAATAGCTTGTGAATGGGAGTATGAACACAAGTTTTAAATATTGTACCCAAATACAAAGTCTGATGCCAGATTTGGGTTAAGAAACACTGAAAATAACTAAACATAGACCATTTCATATGGAGACATTTTAGCCCACCCTTTGTAGATGTTGAGAGGCATGCGGCTGATGTCAATGAAAATGTTATTATTGCAAGGCATATCTATGTTTTTCGTATCAGAAAGGTAATGGGATCTTTCCAGCATTATAAGCCAGTAGAGCTATGGAAAGTATAAGTATAGCACAATTTAATTATAAACACAACTATGCACTTACAACACATTTTAATTACAATATCTATAGTATTTCTGGATTTTGTTTCAAATGTTAGTTTTGAAGGTCATAATGCAAGTTGTTTTAACGTATATTTAAGTAGAATATTTTTAGGTGTGTAGAAAATATAACAAAACCTATACAAAGAAAGTATTATGTCACCAGTTGTGAATTCTTGAAAGTAGTCCGTGTTCTTGTGTTTTTTATGAAAAAATTTTTATGCTGCTTTATCTGATGATGATTTGTGAATAGCAGAAATTACATTTTTAGAGAAACGTTCGAGCTGCTTACATTAAATTGGTATCTCCTGTTTGAAACTTATGGCATAAGTTTATTCTGTTCAGATATTTTGTCATTTTTTTCTTGTGCACTCAAAGAGGGTAGTGAAGTTTGTTACACTTTAACTTCAAAGCTATCTGTTCATAATATTGATTAATTCAGTTATGAATTTATAGTTCTACATTATGAGTTTTATTTCTTGACATATCCACTAGGTGGTGAAAGTGGATCAGCAGACACTGTGAGAGATCCTAGAGGATTTTCCTTAAAGTTTTACACTGAAGAAGGAAACTGGGATTTAGTAGGCAATAACACACCAATATTTTTTATCCGTGACCCAATGCTTTTTCCTAGTTTTATCCATACTCAGAAACGTAATCCTATGACTCACCTGAAGGTGGGTATTTTTTACACATGCTTGTACTTTAAATTTTCCGTATTAGAGTTCTGTGTTTTTATAAGTTATGTGTTAGAAATGTTTGTAATATAACATTTCAATATGTAAAACAAAACATTTATTTAAAATTTATATGATAATGGTAATTTTCAATAAAACTTAAAATGGTTGATTCCATCATTTTCTATTTTTATTTCGCTAAGAATCTTTGTCCTGTAATTTTTTTAAATTTAACCCATAGTTTTATTCTTTTCAACTTTTGTTTATGTTTAAATTAGGATGTTGACATGTTTTGGGACTTCATCACTTTGCGTCCAGAAAGCACTCACCAGGTGTCGTTTCTGTTTTCTGATCGTGGTATCCCAGATGGCCACCGTCACATGAATGGATATGGCTCACATACATTTAAACTTGTGAACTCTGATGGAGAAGCTGTTTATTGCAAATTCCACTACAAGGTAAGATTAGTGTGTCATAGGAGCTAGTGAACACTAGTTTTGTACAATTGAGAAATAATAGAAAATTCTATTCTAATAATGTTTTTATAAAGTATTTTTACTAAAGATTTGTCTGTGAATTTGTGAAGCATTTACTGTGTCAGTCTCAGTGAATGGTGATTTTCATGCTAAGAATAAAAATATTTTTTTTTAATTCCACATATTTCATTTGTGTAACCTCTAGTACCTCCTAAAACGAATATCAAAAGTTGTTTCAGTAAAACTTTCTCTCGTATTTTCCTTATCCTAGCACTAACTGTAGCAAAATCATCAGTGTATAGTGAAATGAAAAGTTTAAAAATATTAAATAAATATTACCATTTTCTGTTCGTTTTTCAAGAATGATTGCAAATCTTAAAAAACAATTACAATTATTTATCCTAAAAGCCTCAGCTTCTAACCATTTCTTATCTGCTTTCTTTGGCTTTTCATTTTGTTTTATCTAACCTATTAAGTGTCACATATTTAAATTTTACATACTTTGTTAAAAAATATACAACAATAATAATAACTATACGTAAGAAGTAAGAATTTTACACATACTTTAGGCATCTGGGCTGCTTGCACTTGGATGATATGATTCAGTAATCCTACTTTTTTTCTTACTATGTTAGTTATCCAAAAAAATTATTCATGTTGCATTTTAAAGCACAAGAATATATCGGGCATTAAAATAGAATGTCCCATAACAACTATAAGTTATCTGGCTTTCTAACTAAGCTATAAATAGGCTAAAATAATTCCATTACTGCCTGGAACAACGACTTCTGTCAACACTCAACAAGCTTTTGTTGTGAATTGTCAACTTTAATCCCAAACTAAACAAATGAATATAAGAACCTGGTATACTACACAATGCTCTTTCTGTTGGTTATAAATATCTATTAAATAATTACTACATGGTTTATATGACTATTCTAAAGCTACAATAAGATGGAGGGAGCCTCTCTGATGGGTTTGACAAATTTGTTGATATTTCAGAAGATAGGAGGTTCATAATTTATATGCTAGCCTTCCACTATCCATTGTTTGTGTTTCTAATTGGTCAGACATTCTGAAACCCATATAAAGGAAAAAGAAAATACATAAGGGAAAATTCAGTGTGCAAGGTGACACAGAGAAGTGACTAGTCTGTGTTTTGTAGATACAAATCATTTTCTGAGGTAATTATTTGCTTGTTCTTTTTGTGAACTTTCAGACAGATCAAGGAATTAAAAATTTGCCTGTAGAAAAAGCAGCTGAATTGTCTGCACGTGATCCTGACTATTCCATCCGGGATATGTATAATGCCATAGCTGAAGGGAACTACCCAACATGGACTTTTTACATTCAAGTGATGACATTCAAAGAAGCAGAGAGTTTTCGTTGGAACCCATTTGATCTGACAAAAGTAAGAAAAATATCCCAAAACAGGTCTTTTTATGAGAAAAACCACATGGTTTGATGATTCACATGCACAAATGAATTTACTCTTTAATGTTATGAATATTGCATTATATCAGCAGTTACTTATTTTATAAAAACTATAAAAAAAGAAGGAACTATATAACTACTATGTTCGAAAGCTTTGTTTTAATTTTCTTCTTTTTCTACAAGATTCTTGTCAAGATTGTCATATATTTTTCCGTCCTTTTTTCTACAGTTTTGTATCTCCAATTTCTCATAACCTTGAAATATTTTCAGTTCAATTTCCTTTTCTTTTGTTGTCATCTTCCCTTTTTGCTTCACAAATGATTGCAACAAATTAAAGATCTATTTCTATGCTTTTCAATGCATTTTTATGTTTCTGCTTTACTCAGGAGTAGTTAAAATTGTAATGTCACCTGTGACTGAATATGGCCTTTCATGTATGTGACAAAGACATATAGCATGCATATACAGTTTTGCATGTGTGCATGTGATGCACACATAATACAAAAAGAAGTACAAAAATGGTAGAGTAAGGTCATAGAAAATTTATCTAAAAATGTTCTTAACAACGGACTGCTGATAGCAACACTGAAGCATCAGTGAAACAATTTTATTAACATTATTATACAACTTCATATTTGGTTAATTATTATTTACTATACTTTTCAGTGTGATCTTTTTCCCATAAAAGACTTTGTCAAATGTGATCAGTAAGAAATTGTGATCAAAGTAAGTTAACTGACAGATAACTTCTAAATTAATTAATGAAGCCAACTCTATAGAACAAACTGACTAGAAGTATGTTGTTATAAATTGATGCACAACAAAAATAAACCTATAATCTTTAGAATATATTAAGACAGCTAAGTCATCAGTTAGGTGCCCTAACTTTTAAGCATTTTCAACTGTAATCCAAGTAATATCCCATAATGTTTGGTCAGCTTAGGAGAATAAGAATTTTTCTGAATCCTTAAAATAAATTTAAGAAACAACAACTATATAATCTTTATAAATTTAAAAATTAATTAAAGATAATGGTTCAAAATTATTTTAAACATAACAGCCAAAATGATATGATGATATTAAATATAAAGAAAAGTGATGTACAAGTCAATACCTAAAAAACAAATAAATGCACCAATTGTTTGCTCCTGATATTTGCCCATTTTACCAATACACAAAAACATGGATGTATTTGCAAGCATTCACATATTTACAGTAAGATAGTTCCGATAGCACAGAACAAAAGCAAATATATTGTTTATATAGTAATTATACAAGACTTGATAATACCAATCTATTTGCTGTAGCCTATCATGTCATTTAAGACCATACAATAAAATTGAATAGTATTGAAATAATAGGATTTGAATCACACATGAGAAAAAGAAAGATAAAAGAAGCCTTCTACATCCACCTGACTGGTAACACAGTCAACCTAGCATAGAAGTCAGCAAAACCTGAATACCTTCTTGAACACATTCTAATACTTAAATGATTAAAGCTCTAAATGTCGAAACTCGAGATGAATGAATAATTCACCAGACTTCCATTAAGAAGTCCCACCAGGATTGAATTCTTACAATTAACAATACAGAAAATAGTCCTCAGGACTTCCCCGAAGATGGCAGTAGATTAGCAGTGAAACATATGATAAATTAGTAATTAATAATTAGACTTAGGTGATTGTATAGGCTATTATCCACGACAACAATACTTACAAGCATGAGTGATATGTAAAGCTTTGTTATATCTTATTTACTGAGTTTTATTGTGAAAGGAAGTTCAAATAAGTACAAAATAAATAGTTAATTGTGAGTTAAAGTTGTCACCAGTAGGTATTCAATGTGTTTGTTGAAAGATATGCTGGATAAATTGTAGTGTTGTGAATTAAAACTTGCACGGCATTTAGGGAATTCATTGGGCACTAAATACTGAAACTTTTTGATTAACCTATTCACTGCGGCAGGAGCAGTTCAGTTGTCATCAATCACGATAAAATGGTAATTTTTGTTATTCGCATAGAGTTATAGTTATATATGTGCGACTGACGAATATTTCCATCATTCGCAGCTGAGCCATAGAATTTCAATGACGGAAATATCCGTCATCCACAGGTAATGGGTTAATATTTTATATAATCATTTGTCTTCACACACAGTGATAGTGCAAGGAATAAGGAGTTACTTATGACCCTAGCACCTTAAGAGACTCCTGATTCACATAGACTTTGTTTTTTAATATTTTCAACAGGACTTTTAGGTGTTTTAGTATTTTTACCATTTAAAAAAAAAGTTTTGCATGAGTGAAATCTAAAAACACATCAGTTGGTAATGGATGAATGTTTGAAAATTGCAGCAGCAAGATACATCTCAGTCAAGCACACGTGCAGTGGGCATGCACTGATTGGTTGATAAGTGCAGTAAACACACAGTGTGCATGATTTGAGAAAGATACCAGTACAGTGATGTTAGTATGTGAGTAAAAATGATTTTTTATCAAGTGTATTAGTATGTGTTGTATCAGTGTATTTTTGGTTTGTGGATATATCGTAAATAGTATTTTTTCAGAGGGTGTATGAGGAGGTTCAAAGTATTCCTGCTTAGGCCCTCCAATGGACTAGCACAACACTTTGTTCACAAACTAATTTTTTATCAAAATTGTTAAAGCACCTGTTAACAGACCTTTTAGTAACAATGTTAATGTCAAGATTACCAAGATGAAAGTTTTTTTTATTGTTTTTGCAGTTAAACCATTAATTTTTCTTTCCATACATTGGAAGTATCAATGGCAGTGAATGATTTGGTATCATTTTCTTCATTGATAATTTTATAGTGCTTATTTAAATGCATTAATGTATTTATGAATTAGAAATGATAAATCTTTATTCATAGCTTTTAATGCTCCAATATGACTACGTTTGTTTCATAATTTTTGTAGTTTGGGAATTCAAAATAATATTTATTAATATTAAATTATCATAGTTTTTAAAATTGCCACCAAAGATTAATAACATGTAGATATGTTCTGTATAATTTTTATTAGTTTTAACATGTTTACATACCTCATTACTTGAGGGTTTAACTGTTTTTAGATTGAGCCTTAGTTCTTTGTTGATAGCATCTATATGCTTGTTTGAATGTACGACCAATACACTTTCTGACCGAGAACCTGCTGCATAAGCATGCGTAGTTAGAGTGTTTCCCCAAGAAAAACCATGCATGCGCATTATTCACTCGATGACAAACAGTATGTTTGTGGCAGAGAGCTGCAAAGCTCAGTGATCAAGTCGCTACAATTGCTGTAAGAAACAAGAAGGGGAATGTAAATATACTTTACTAACCATTTTGTACAACAGAATATTAAAAACTTAT